TTTTGCCACAACTTGGGGTCATTGTCCATTTGGAAGACCCATTTGCGACCAAGCTTTAACTTCCTGACTGATGTCTTGAGATGTTGCTTCAATATATCCACATAATTTTCCTTCCTCATGATGCCATCTATTTTGTGAAGTGCACCAGACCCTCCTGCAGCAAAGCACCCCCACAGCATGATGCTGCCAACCCCTTTTGGATGATTTTATTTATTGCCACGGGGCCCACCGATGTAACTGCTAAACTGCTTGCTGTACACTGTACTGCATGATTGTAGCGGGTTTACTAACGCATTAGATCTAATAGCTACACTTGCCTGATCTGTTACCTATAGAAAACTAAAAAACATTTGATGAGGATAAATGCAAAAAAGACAACAAGACCTACAAGAGTGTCATATTTACAGTACTGAAGGAGATGCCTTGTATAGAGCAATCAGAAAGTATTCAGACCCCTTGACTTTTTCCACATTTTGTTACGTTACACCCTTATTCTAAAATTGATTAAATTGTTAGTTTTTTTCCCTCTTCATCAATCTACACTCAATACCCCATAATGAAAAAAGCAAAAACAGGTTTTTAGACATTTTTGCAAATGTATTATTAAAAATCAAAAAACAAAATATTAAATTTACATAAGTATTCCGATCCTTTACTCAGTACTTTGTTGAAGCACCTGTGGCAGCGATTACAACCTCGAATCATTTTGGGTATGACGCTACATGCTTGGCACAACTGCATTTGGGGAGTTTCTCTCATTCCCATGGGGCGGCGCACAATTGGCCCAGCATCGTCCAGAGTATGGGAGGGAATGGCCGGCAGGGATGTAGCTCAGTTGGTAGAGCATGGTGTTTGCAATGCCAGGGTTGTGGGTTCGATTCCCACGGGGGCCAGAATGAAAAAATAAAAAAATAATAATGTATGCACTCACTAACTGTAAGTCGCTGAGAGCGTCTGCTAAATGACTAAAATGTAAATATAATTCTTATCTGCATATCCTCTCAAGCTCTATCAGGTTGGATGGGGAAAAGTAATGTGGTCTGAATACTTTCCAAATGCGTATAACACATAAATCAAACATACTTTGGAAAAAACATTTCACAGTTTTAATATGTTCAACAAGCTTTAAATATTTAAAAGCGCAACGGTGTCCTTCCCTTTTACTGCACAGATGCATGGAGAATGCATTTACAGTACAGTGCCTTGCAAAAGTATTCACCCCCCTTGACGTTTTTGCTATTTTGTTGCATTACAACCTGTCATTTAAATGGATTTTTATTTGGATTACATGTAATGGACAAATTGGTGAAGTAAAATGAAAAAATTAAGTTGTTTAGAAAAATTCTACAAAATAAATAACGGAAAAGTGGTGCGTGCATACGTATTCACCCCCTTTGCTATGAAGCCCCTAAATAAGATCTGGTGTAACCAATTACCTCCAAAAGTCACATAATTAGTTAAATAAAGTCCACCTGTCTGCAATGTAAGTCTCACATGATCTGTCAAATGATCTCAGTATATTTACACCTGTTCTGAAAGGCCCCAGAGTCTGCAACACCACTAAGCAAGGGGCACCACCAAGCAAGCAGCACCATGAAGACCAAGGAGCTCTCCAAACAGGTCAGGGACAAAGCTGTGGAGAATTACAGATCAGGGTTGGGTTATAAAAAAAGATCAGAAACTTTGAACATCCCACGGAGCACCATTAAATCCATTATAAAAAAATTGAAAGAATATGGCACCACAACAAACCTGCCAAGAGAGGGCCGCCCACCAACACTCACATACCAGGCAAGGAGGGCATTAATCAGACAGGCAACAAAGAGACCAAAGATAACCTTGAAGGAGCTGCAAAGCTCCACAGCGGAGATTGGAGTATCTGTCCATAGGACCACTTTAAGCCGTACACTCCACAGAGCTGGGCTTTACGGAAGTGTGGCAAGAAAAAGCCATTGCTTAAAGAAAAAAATAAGCAAACATGTTTGGTGTTTGCCAAAAGGCATGTGGGAGACTCCCCAAACATATGGAAGAAGGTACTCTGGTCAGATGAGACTAAAATTGAGCTTTTTGGCCATCAAGGAAAACACTATATCTGGTGCAAACCCAACACCTCTCATCACCCCGAGAACACCATCCCCACAGTGAAGCATGGTGGTGGCAGCATCATGCTGTCGGGATGTTTTTCATTGGCAGGGACTGGGAAACTGGTCAGAATTGAAGGAATGATGGATGACGCTAAATACAGGAAAATTCTTGAAGGAAACCTGTTTCAGTCTTCCGTAGATTTGAGACTGGGACGTAGGTTCACCTTCCAGCAGGACAATGACCCTAAGCATACTGCTAAAGCAACACTCAAGTGGTTTAAGGGGAAACATTTAAATGTCTTGGAATGGCTTATTCAAAGCCCAGACCTCAATTCAATTGAGAATCTGTGGTATGACTTAAAGATTGCTGTACACCAGCGGAACCCATCCAACTTGAAGGAGCTGGAGCAGTTTTGCCTTGAAGAATGGGCAAAAATCCCAGTGGCTAGATGTGCCAAACTTATAGAGACATACCCCTAGAGACTTGCAGCTGTAATTGCTGCAAAAGGTGGCTCTACAATGTATTGACTTTGGGGGGGGGGGGGGGGGGGGGGTGAATAGTTATTCACACTCAAGTTTTCGTTTTTTTTTTTGTCTTGTTTCTTGTTTGTTTCACAATAGAAAATATTTTGCATCTTCAAAGTGGTAGGCATGTTGTGTAAATCAAATGATACAACCCCCCCAAAAAATCTATTTTAATTCCAGGTTATAAGGCAACAAAATAGGGAAAATGCCAAGGGGGGTGAATACTTTCGCAAGCCACTGTAGTTATGTGCTTTTTCTGTTCAATAAATAGTAGCCTTCAGTGCAAATACTCATCAAATACTCATTACTGCAAACACTCATCACTGCAAATACTCATCACGATTTGGTTCCTTGGAAGTTGAGGGAACGTATGTTTTTGGTTTACCATTGATTCTGGGAATGATGCCATAAGTTTCCTGACCGTTAAAACGGAACGTTTTTAAACGTTCTGAGAACGGAAGTGAAATTTTTGCCTGTTCAGTTAACGTTAAATGGAACGTTAATTTTTAGGTTGCAGGGAGGTTTTACTATGGTTCCCTGAAAGTTTTCCTGGGAGGTTTTTTTAACGTTCTGAGAACGGAAATTATAGGCTATTTGAAGGTGATTAAATAACGTTCTGAGAACATTATCTAAATGTTGTGAATGTTTTGAACAAAATGTAAAGGTTATTTTGAGGATTTTGAATAACTTTCTTAAAACTTTCACTCAATAAGAATTTTAATAACAGTTTGGGTTAACTGTTTTGAACTCCAAGAACAGATAGGACTAGGGTTGCAAAGCTACCGGTAATTTACCAAAGTTACAGAAATCTTCAGTAATTTTGGTAATTAACAGAACATCTATGGTAACTTTGGTAATTTATACTTGAATAACTTTAAAAATCTATATTCATATATAGTATTCATTTTTATATCTGTGTCCATATTGTCCATTAGTTTCTAGTAGATAGACCATATGGTTGAAGAGAAAATAGCCTACTTAATGAAAAAAGCATCTAATCAACAATGGCATTATTTTCAATTACCTCTGCAACTCGTCCAACTGTTGACTTTTTTCACAACTTCCACCAGTTTGACGCAAAAACATTGACATAAAATACATATTGACATAGTAAAATAAATACACCAATGGTATTCACTAAGAGCGATGGTTTATATTTAGGATGATATTTTACAGCTTTCTCATTAATTCTATTTTAAATCATTTTATTTAATTATTTCATATATTTTCCATGTGATAAGGCCAGAGATAATTACAGAGACCTGTGATATGAAGTACCCAACAAGGCCAGTAGATACAGTATATTGTGATAGATTACATAAGATCATTGAAAGATACCAAAATTCTGGTAGTGTACTGGTAAACTTAGAAAGTTTCCAGTAAAGTACCCTCCCTTTGCAACCCTAGATAGGACACAGAAATTAATTTGCAAACACATTAATTTTTTTATTGTGGCACAGCGTCAGTTAAATTTGGTACCTATGATCTTCTGTTCTCTATCCATGGAATTAGTCACTGTGCCACCAGGAAGGAGCTAGCATGCCATGTTCATTTTAGCCTATTCAAACAGACCCCATTTCAAAGGAAACAAGCATTAATTAAGATCAGGTGTGGCCAATAAGTGGACGAGGCCAACGTACCTGAACACACTTAACAAGATAGAGGATAAAGAGAGTTTTGTTGACGCTTAGATTGAAACATATGTGTTTTTAAATAACATTCTTAGAAAGGTCTTTGAACGTTACTAATGTTCTTGTGGTTTTTATGGAAAGTGTTCTTAACGTTCTGAGAACATGACTGCATAAACCTGCAGAAAACATTATGCTGAAGTACTGAAATTCCCACAGAAGACCGTTGTTTCTTAACATTCTCTGAACTATTTGAGAACATTCCCAATGTCAAACTAATTGGAGAACATTCCTAGAACATTACCAAAATTGTTTGAACTTTTAGGAAACATTCAGATAAAGAAATGAAATACCAAGAATATTATACTTTTTTCTTGTTTCTTAAATGTGCCCAAGAATGTTCCACAGCCAAGCAACTATCCTGCACCATTCCCAGAAAGTTGTAGGAAGGTTGTATGCAAAATAACGATATGACAACCCCGCTGTCACCGAGCTCTAAGAAACATTTTGTTCTCAGAAGGTTATGTGCTAGCTGGGTAAGCAATCAAATGTAAAATGTAGTCTTTCTGAACCAACTGTAAACATTTCATACAAAAATTCCCACAAATGTCAAGAGTTGCAACAAGGCATTCTACTCCTCTTTAAAACAACAACATAGTAAAACATCACAGTGACCCATTAAAATAAAAAATAAACATAGACATCTTCATATGGTGGTTAAAAAAAGGCACAACATAGTGGAGAGGCATCCTCATAGACTCTTTCACTTCTCTGACTCACTCCATCCTTTTGCATTTCTTCCAAACTTGTAAACCAGCCTTCGTCCATCCACGTGTTCCAGGATTTCCCGTTTGTAGTAATATCTGGAATGGTATGGACAGGGAGGTTAATGTAACAGCCAAAATGACTGCCTCCTTAAGATGTGAATCAGGAAATAAACATCAAAACCCCCTAATCCCTTCAGTCTTTACCTCATAGCTCGGCTGAGCTTCTCGTAGGTCATGTTGCTGTTCTTCTTCTTCTTGCCCCACAGCTGAGCCACAGCCTCTGACTTCAGGAAACGGAACACGCCATCTGTCCGGTCCTCCCACTTGAGCAGGCCTGGGTTCCGCTCCGGGTTCAGCAGAATGTCCCTAATGAACTCCCACAGGTGGGTCCTCCGGGGGTCTGAGGAGAAACACATAGGTGGTGGACATTAGAACCATCTACTGCACATCAGTTATAGCATAGGCAAAACGTTCAGCATGTAGCCATCATCCGATTGAGCATTTACATTAAAAGATATGGAACGATAGTATTGAAGATGAGAAATACTACTGACTGTGTTTTTTGACCTGATGAGGGTGACTGTGAGATCTCTTCGTGTCTGAAAGTAAATTAATATGCAGAAATGGTCATTAAGCAGATGCTCACAACAAATAAAAATGAAGACATTCAATATATTTGGGACATGTGGCAATCAAACCCACTAGTGGGTCTAGCATCATAGTAGTCCAACCAACTAATCAAACAGAGCTATAACTCATACAGGATCCACATACAGTACGTGTAAACCCTTGTACCACTATGTCTTACGCGTTCCATCTTAATTCTATGGAACCCAATACTATACAATTACATGGGTGTGGGGAACATATACAGACATTTTAGTAATTTAGCAGATGCTCTTATCCAGAGCAATTAGGGTTAAGTGCCTTGCTCAAGGGCACATCGACAGATTTTTCACCTAGTCGGCTCGGGGATTAGAACAAGCAACCTTTCGGTTACTGGCACAACGCTCTTAACCACTAAGCTACCTGCCACCCCGGATGAATTTGTTAAGTTGTATCCTCAAACATTGTTTGCTCAGTGACATTGTTTAGTGAAGGAGTAAACTCAGCTGGCCCATTCCCAAAATGATCAATCACTGAACGTTCATGGACTTTACTCAATAGCCTTGTATTGCCACTTTGTTTGCTCAATGATATCTTATGTTTCAAATTCACATTGGTCCAGCTATAATTTCTTTGGGGACTAGGCTACTGTAGATCAAAGTCTTCCCTTGGCTTGGGGCTTGTTCCAATGTCTGTGTTCACATAATGTTTTATAGGTTTTCAGTCCTCATCTCTTACCTGGACTTGAGGGAGTGGGAGACGCCACAGGTGCGAGGCATTGAAATGAGGGATCATAAATATCTAAAAAGTAAAGACATGTCAACACATAAAAAATGATGATGTCCGTAAGTTAGTTAAAATGTTGAATTTGTAAGTCTCTACTATCCATTCCAATGTGGTACCTACCTGCAGGATAGATGCTAGGTTCTGAGAATGGACACGGAAAATCTATGAGGAGAGGACATAAAGCTTACATTTACTTAGAGGCATAAAGTAACCTCTCAAGAGTTTAGTGAAATCAAGAACTAGGTTTAACTTACTTCATCTTTTAACTACTGTCAAACATGTTGAGACATGCATAGATAGGCCTATGTCATGACTGGATGGGCTTGTATGGGATGACTTTAAGTACATTACTCATGCATCCCAATGTGCATTCGTGCATCCCAATGTTTGTCTAGAACAGGGATCATCAACTAGATTCAGCCGCAGGCCAATCTTTTATAAATATAGAGGACCAGTCCAAAGTTTGGACACACCTACTCATTCAAGGGGTTTTCTTTATTTTTACTATTTTCTACATTGTAGAATAATAGTTAAGGCATCAAAACTATGAAATAACACACATGGAATCATGTAGTAACCAGAAAGTGTTAAATAAATGAAAATATATTTGAGATTCTTCAAATAGCCACCCTTTGCCATGATGACAGCTTTGCACACTCTTGGCATTCTCTCAACCAGCTTCATGAGGTAGTCACCTGGAATGCATTTCAATTAACAGGTGTGCCTTGTTAAAAGTTAATTTGTTGAATTTCTTTCCTTCTTAATGCATTTGAGCCAATCAGTTGTGTTGTGACAAGGTAAGGGTGATTTACAGAAGATAGCCCTATTTGTTAAAAGACCAAGTCCATATTATGGCAAGAACAGCTCAAATAAGCAAAGAGAAACGACAGTCCATCATTACTTTAAGACATAAAGGTCAGTCAATACGGAAAATTGCTGCAAAGAAACCTCTACTAAAGGACACCAATAAGAAGAATAGAATTGCTTGGGCCAAGGAACACGAGCAACGTACATTAGACCGGTGGAAACCTGTCCTTTGGTCTGATGAGTCCAAATTTGAGATTTTTGGTTCCAACTGCCGTGTCTTTGTGAGACGCAGAGTAGGTGAACGGATGATCTCTGCATGTGTGGTTCCCACCGTGAAGCATGGAGGAGGAGGTGTGATGGTGTGGGGTACTTTGCTGGTGAGACTGTCAGTGATTTATTTAGAATTCAAGGCACACTTAACCAGCATGGCTACCACAGCATTCTGCAGCGATACACCATCCCATCTGGTTTGCGCTTAATGGGACTATCATTTGTTTTTCAACAGGACAATGACCCAAAACACACCTCCAGGCTGTGTAAGGGCTATTTGACCAAGAAGGAGAGTGATGGAGTGCTGCATCAGATGACCTGGCCTCCACAATCACCTGACCTCAACCCAATTGAGATGGTTTGGGATGAGTTGGACCGCAGAGTGAAGGTAAAGCAGCCAACAAGTGCTCAGCATATGTGGGAACTCCTTCAAGACTGTTGGAAAAGCAGTCCAGGTGAAGCTGGTTGAGAGAATGCCAAGAGTGTGCAAAGCTGTCATCAAGGCAAAGGATGGCTACTTTGAAGAATCTAAAACAGAAAATGTATTTTGATTTGTTTACATTTTTTTTGTTACTACATGATTCCATATGTGTTATGTCATAGTTTTGATGTCTTCACTATTATTCTACAATATAGAAAATAGTAAAAATAAAGAAAACCCCTTGAATGAGTAGGTGTGTCCAAACTTTTGACTGGTACTGTATATTTTTGGACTGCAGATTGAACACAAGAAGCCCAAACATATATAATATTTGTCTAAAACATAATAATTTCAAACCTTGATTACATTTGGGAACATTTTCCTGCGTATGGTGCCGTCTTTAGGATAGGACGTTAAAACGGGTGTCCTGACTCTCTGTGGTCATTCAAAATCCCATGGCGCTTATTGTAAGAGTAGGGGTGTTCACCCCGGTGTTATGTCTAAATTCCCAACCTGGCCACATTCCATCATGGCCACCTAATCATCCTCCTCTTTCCTAATTGGCATACATCAGTCCTCACCTCTCCACCTGATAGTTGGTGTGTGGGGAGAGTTCCGTGCATCACTGAGGTGGGTGCTACACATTGATGGTGGATGAGGGGAGTTTCCCCCTACTACTGTATGTAAAGCGCTTTGAGTAACTCAGTTGGTAGAAAAGTGCTTTATAAATCCAATCAATTGTTATTAATTAAAATTATTTGTATACGATCACATATGTCTATCTATTATGCGTGTGAATACTTGGGAACAGATTTCCAAAATTAAAATAGCTTGGAGCTGATTTCCTGTTGGTTTTACAGTCTTTTATGTCCATCAATGAAAATTCAACAAAACATTATTATAATTTTTTGTATTTCTTTGCTTGGGGCCAAATAAAACCACCTGCAGACCAAATTCAGCAAGAGGGCCGCCAGTTGGGGAACCCTGACCTAGAGTCTCACAGATTCTATAGACTCCCCGTTCTCTACAAGGGTCTGAAACATTGTATATATTCTATAACTTTATGAATTATTCATTTTATAAGCACGCAACAGTGCATTTTGAATAAAGGACGAGTGAAACACAATGTACTACATCCTCTCTGGGTTTGTTTGCTTTGACAGCTCTTACCATCTGGCTCTGATTTGATAACGTCCAGCGGTGAAAACGCCACACCAGGATACTGTCCTGTGTAGGGATGACATGGAGAAACAAGAGGTCATTTAAGGGAATTGTCATTACACTTACATTAACAACACCCTTTTTGTTTTGTGCTGCATGTAGTCAAACTTGATGATGAAATCTTAAATCCTTGATCCTTCCACCCTACACTGGTTCAACTGTCTGTTCCTGTTTGTTTGTGGTTTTCTAACTGACTCAAATAGTGTTTTAATGAAATACTACATTTAAACATCTGAAGACCTAATTTATCACTAACAGTATGTTTTTACAATACATAGCCAGACCTGGCCTCCATTCTTTTAAACATAAGACACTAACAATAACAGAGGACGTTACAGCCTTGTCCAATGTGTGAACCCACCGCTCCATTTGAGCTCGTTGAGGCTGTGGTAGAGGATAGGCCCCACGGTGCCTGCGGCACGTGTGAAGTCCTGGTAGGTCATGCTGCACAGCTGATGGCCGTCCACGTCAAAGTTCTGGAAGGGGATGCTGGCAGCGTCGATCTGGTGCATGTCCAACATCTGCTGTAGCCACTGCCACACCAGGTACTTTGACCAATACTGAGGCTGAGAGTCCTGGGACCACAGGTGACAGGTGTAACCAGGCATCACTGTGGAAACTGGGTTCAGGGGTGAAGGTAGAGGTTTGGTGCGTTTCGAGTGTGCTGGGGGTGTTGTGAAAAATGTGAACTCTGGCTAGCCCAGGTACTTGTAAATAATTAAACCAGCAGACCAATTTACTAAATGAGCCATTGAGCAACCAAACAAGTCCTCACTGTCTGGGCAGGGGTAGGAGCTCCATGTTGTGGGCAGCTGGCTCTCAATGCTGGCAGTGGAAGGGATGCTCATGATACAGGTGGTATGACGGACCATGGTCCGGAGCTGGGGGAGAAAGACACACACAGTCAGTATGGAGTAAAACCCCAAACAAGGTGATAGCTAGCCTACTGTGTAATCACACACAGTGCACATAGATAGTGTTATTCCCCATAGTGAGTTGAGACTTTTGCAAAATAGATATTTCTAAATGACAACATTGACAGTTGTGAAAGTGCAGAGGGAGTCAGTGTAGGGAGAGCGTGGGTGTCTGTTTACTATACATTCTCCCATTCTTCTATGCAGATCCTCTCAAGATCTGTCGGGTTGGATGGGGAGCATCGCTGCACAGCTATTTTCATGTCTCTCCAGAGATGTTAGATTGGGTTTAAGTCCGGGCTCTGGCTGGGCCATTGAAGGACATTCAGAGACTTGTCCTAAAGCCACTCCTGCATTGTCTTGGCTGTGTGCTTAGAGTTGTTGTCCTGTTGGAAGCTGAACCTTCGCCCAAGTCTGAGGTCCTGAGCGCTCTGGAGCAGGTTTTCCTCAAGGATCTCTCAGTACTTTGCTCCATTCATCTTTCCCTCGATCCTGACTAGTCAGTTGTGGTCCTCTGTAGCTCAGCTGGTAGAGCACGGCGCTTGTAACGCCAAGGTAGTGGGTTCGATCCCCGGGACCACCCATACACAAAAATGTATGCACGCACGACTGTAAGTCGCTTTGGATAAAAGCGTCTGCTAAATGGCATATTATTATTATAGTCTCCCAGTCCCTGCCGCTGAAAAACATCCCCACAGGATGATGCTGCAACCACCACGCTTCACTGTAGGGATGGTGACAGGTTTCCTCCAGACATGACGCTTGGCATTCAGGCCAAAGAGTTCAATCTTGGTTTCATCAGACAAGAGATTTTGTTTCTCATGGTCTGAGAGTCCTTTAGGTGTTTTTTTGCAAAACACCAAGCGGGCTGTCATGTGCCTTTTTCTGAGGAGTGGCTTCCGTCTGGCCATTCCACCTCCTGATTGGTGGAGTACTGCAGAGATGGTTGTCCTTCTGGAAGGTTCTCCCATCTCCACAGAGGAACTCTGGAGCTCTGTCAGAGTGACCATCGGGTTCTTGGTCACCTCCCTCACCAAGGCCCTTCTGCCTTGATTGCTTAGTTTGGCCAGGTGGCCAGCTTTAGGAAGAGTATTGGTGGTTCCAAACTACTTCCATTTAAGAATAATGGAGGCCACTGTGTTCTTGGGGACCTTCAATGCTACGGACATTTTTTGGTACACTTCCCCAGATCTGTGCCTCGACACAACCCTGTCTTGGAGCTCTACGGACAATTCCTTCGACCTCATGGCTTGGTTTTTGCTCTGACATGCACTGTCAAGTGTGGGACCTTATATAGACAGGTGTGTGCCTTTCCAAATCATGTCCAATCAATTGAATTTACCACAGGTGGACTCCAATCAAGTTGTAGAAACATCTCAAGGATGATCAATGGAAACAGGATGCACCTGAGCTCAATTTCGAGTCTCATTGCAAAGGGTCTGAATACTTATGTAAATAAGGTATTTCTGTTTTGTATTATTTACTTTAATAAATGTGTAAAAAATTATAAAAATCTGTTTTCGCTTTGTCATTAGGGGGTATTGTGTGTAGATTGATGAGGTATAAAAACATTTTTTTTGAATAAGGCTGTAACATAACAAATGTGGAAAAGTCAAGGGGTGTGAATACTTTCCGAATGCACTGTATACCTATTTGTTCTGCTGATGGTTGAATGAAATGGGTTAATCACACTTAATGATGTGATACTCCTGGATATCTCGACAGTTAAGCGCAGAAACGCCTGCAGGTCATTTATGATTGACAAACCAGATAAAACGTATTTCAGATTGACATAAGAAAATCCACTGGAGCTGATATGCTTGATCCATTTTTGCTGCAGCTCTCTGCCCCCTTGATTGCTAAATCATTAACACATATTTTTTACCTGACGATTATATCTGGTACTCTCCCCAAGGTTTGGAAGGCAGCCCATGTACTCCCCCTTCACAAAGGTGGGGACCCTTGTGACCTAAATAATTATCGGCCTATTTCTAAACTTTCTTGCCTAAATAAAATATTAGAATCCTTGATTAATTCTCAGCTAAGATCTTTCTTATCTTTGAAATGTATTCTAAATGTACACTACATGACCAAATGTATGTGGACACCTGCTCGTTGAACATCTAATTCCAAAACCATGGGCATTCATTTGGAGTTGGTCCCCCCTTTACTGCTATAACGGCCTCCACTCTTCTGAGAAGGTTTTCCACTAGATGTTGGAACATTGCTGCGGGGACTTGCTTCCATTCAGACACAAGCGCATTAGTGAGGTCGGGCACTGATGTTGGGCGATTAGGCCTGGCTCGCAGTCGCCGCTCCAATTCCACACCGATCTCGACAAACCATTTCTGTATGGACCTCACTTTGTGCATGGTGGCATTGTCATGCTGAAACAGGAAAGGGCCTTCCCCAAACTGTTGCCACGAAGTTGGAAGCACAGAATCGTCTATAATGTCATTGTATGCTGTAGCATTAAGATTTCCCTTTACTGGAACTAAGAGGCCTAGCCCGAACCATGAAAAACAGCCCCAGATCATTATTTGTCCTCAACCAAACTTTACAGTTGGCACTATGCATTGAGGCAGGTAGCAGTCTCCTGGCTTCCGCCAAACCCAGATTTGAAGCTTGATTCATCTCTCCAGAGAACACGTTTCCATTGCTCGGTCACACGGTGATCTTAGGCTTCTGTGTGGCTGCTCAGCCATGGAAACCCATTTCATGAAGCTCCCGACAAACAGTTATTGTGCTGACGTTGCTTCCAGAGGCAGTTTGGAACTCGGTAGTGAGTGTTGGAACTGAGGACAGATGGTTTTTACGCGCTACGTGCTTCAGCACTCTGTGATCCCGTTCTTTGAGCTTGCACTTCGCGGCTGAGCCATTGTTGCTCTTCAGTAAGGCCATTCTACTGCCAATGTTTGAGCATGGAGATTGCATGGCTGGTCAGCAACGAGTGTGTCTGAAATAGCCGAATCCACTAATTTGAAGGGGTGTCCACATACTTTTTTATATACAGTATAGTGTACATCATTCATGTTTTAGACCAGGTCATAACACTATCTCTGCTTCATCCCTACGTATAAAAAACTGTATGGATAAAAAGCAACATTGTAATGCCCTCTTCATTGACCTGTCAAAGGCTTTCGATACTGTTGATCACTCACTGCTAATTCAGAGGCTTTGCTCAATTTACCTATACCAGGCTGCATGTAACTGGTTTAAAAATTACTTCACAGATAGAACAATGTATATCTACTGATGGTGTTAAATCAGGTTTCCTGGATATTACAAAAGGTGTCCCGCAGGGGTCGATTCTGGGTCCTGTTTATTTTACTGTTAACATTAATACAACTTGTATGTAAAAAAAATGTGACCTGCACTTGTATGCAGATGATGCTGTTGTGTATGCTATTGCCCCCACGGTTGACCAGGCTCTATCTATACTACAGTCTGCCTTCATTGTGTTACAGAAAAGCTTTACTGACCTGAAATTTGTACTGAATGCAGGGAAAACTAAATATATGTTGTTCTCTAGAGCACATAAAAATAAGTCTGATGATTTATGCATGTGCACTTTGGATGTTGTCCATATTGATCGTGTCCTGGCTTACAAATATCTGGGCATCTGGATAGATGAAAAGCTGTCTTTTAAAAAGCATATTGATGAGTTAGTTAAGAAGCTGACAATAAAAATGGGCTTCTTAAATAGAAATAGGTCCTGCCTCTAGCTAAGTAGTAGAAAGCAGATTATTCAGTCGATGCTCCAATCGGTCCTAGACTATGGAGACATAATCTATATCAGCCTTTCTTAAAGTATGGGTTGCAACCCAAAGTGGGTTGCGGACCTGTTAATGGTGAGTCGCGACGTGTCAAAGTCAATGTAGAATTATTTCATTAATTACTGGAATTGATTTGGCCAAGTGCATCTGCGCTCTCTGCTTAGCAGCGGTCTCTGCTCAGTATGGCAGCTGTGCAAGTGGGAGAGGGAGATGCCCGTGTGCTTCACCGTTTAGCAGATATTTTTTTCTGCAGTTTTCTTGAAGATCATTCCGCGTCACACACGACGCAGTGCTGTCGTTCAGCAGCAGATGATGCGCTGTCAGCCACTGACTTGTCATTCCCATTCGCCATCACTCATCGCTGTCATCAAATGGACTCATGCTAGCCACAAGTTCTGACTGAGCTCAATTGTCATGAAATGCAAATACAGCGATGAGTTTCTCTCTCTTTCATACAAACTTTGAGAAATAACAAGGAGCGCCCACAATGTGTTTTGTGCGGGGGAAGTGCTTAGTAATGAGTCTCTCAAAATGAACAAATCAATAAAACGACATGTCCTGAGCAAATATCCACAACATAATGGTAAAACCAGGGATTTCATTCAGAACAGGGCATAATGCTTCAGGAAACAGTGCTTTGACAGTGGAAAAGTAAGTCAGCTAGCAAGGCTTTGTTGTAATTTTATAACAGGTGAAGATAAGCAGAAATAAGTAAGTACTAACTCTCATAGTAGTAGATTTCTCTTTCAAACAATCCCCTGGCCTTGTACACAGCTAATTAATAGCTAACATTAGCCAAAGCAAGCTAGATAGCTACTTATAGTGCAACCCTTTGTAACAGTACAGATGAAGATGAAAAATGATCAGGCCTCCTATACATCTTACTGTAGAAATTATTGTTGATAACTAGTCTAGGTTGGAACTGTTGCTGTTAAAATACAAGTAATACTTTTTATTCTGAACTGGAATAAACTGATTTAAGCAAGATGCTTTTTGAGACAAACACACTCTGGGTTGCTCATCTACAGTAGGAAGCCGTCTCCTGCCTGACTGAGAAAGCAGTAAATGTTCTGATCCAGTTTTGCACCACATACCTATGCAAGTCAGGGTTCTCAACTCTGACATACTTAAAAAACAAGTACAGAAACAGTCTCAATGCAGAGCATGACCTCAGTGTTGCACTGTCAAAGTCTG